CGGCCGTCGCGGTGCGGAGAGCCTGCTAACCTGCTGTTCAGAAACCCGGATGTCTCTTCGGACAAGTCCGAGTTGTTATCTCTGGGCTAGTTACTGCTGGGGATGGGTTTTCTTCCGCAGTGCACCCGATGGAGTGAAGTTTTACAGATTTTTTTTTTTTTCTTCCTATCGTTGCAGCTGCTAATTTATCACTTTGGCGGTTTTTACAGGTATCGGGGCTTGGGGAAAGGCTGAATGTTTTTCATCAGTTTGTTTCCCCCCGTGAAGGAAAACGTAGCTTGGTTACCCCTCAGTCTTTGAGGGAGCTGGTTATCCGGGTGACGGATCTCGTTGCTTTCCCCTGGTTGTGTTTTGCTTTGACAGAAGAAGTCTTAAACTCCCTGATGATGTTTCCTCAGTGAGTTACTGAGTAATAGCTGCTAAACGCCTTTGAAAATTTGTGCTTGTTTTGTTGCTCTTTGAAGTAAGCTTGTGAGTAAGTATTAGATTGCTTGGTACCTACAAGTTTATTTTTTATTTTCGTTAACCCCCAAGTCAAAACGACTTCAGCAGTCCTTCTCAGACGTATGATTTTAAAGCTGTGTTTAAAGTGCGCTGAAGTCCATTGTGTTCACATACGGCCCTCGGTAAACGTTGCTCAGGTTCGTTATTAATCCACACCTTAACGTTCATCTTGTGCATAGGTGAACAAAATAAAGCACTGTCAAATAAAGGAGTTGTATTTCCCAGGGTCTGGGTTCAGCTGCTTCTGTTAGAAGCAACAAAGTAGTAGAAGGACACTAGAGTGGTGGAGGGGGGGGAGAGGTCTTTACCCTGTTTGCTTTGTGCACTTCATGTCACGGTTAACTTCTGTGGTTTCCTCTACCAGCTGGTAGTTAGACCTTAAAAACAGGAGAAACTTTCAGATCGTAAGGAGCGGGGGAAAGAATATTTAGGCCAGAGCCACAAAAACGCAGTTGTGCTTGCATCGAATCCTTTTAATTTTGCTTTGACTGTGTCCTGTAACTCCATCTTCTTTATTGTTTCTTGTCCCCTCTCTCCCCTGCAAGATGGAATGTATTGACAGTTTTTTTGAGGGGAGGGAAGTCTATTTTATTTGCTACACAGAACATTAATCTCATGTTAGGGGCTTTCAATGAAGAGTCAATTTAGAGGAAAAAGAAAAGAAATTGGAACTGAAAGTTAACTAGTGTAAATCGCTAGAGTAGGGAAAAATCAGTGTTTACTTAATTATTTTGTAAGGGTGTGTGTTAAATGTCTCACCACAATCCTTTTATTTGTGTTCAGGAAACGGGTAGTTAGGGTAATGATAAAGAATATGTATTTATTCACTAGTATTACTTTTTGGCTCTTTGGAAATTAGAATGCATATGCAGTTTAAAGCTGCCTGATGGTTCTCTACGCATTCTTCATTGGTCAGCTCAACCACAAGATGAAAAGTAGTACTTACAACCAGAAAATCAGAGACGGCTTCATTTCATAACACTTATTGGAATCTGTAATCTGTGGTGTGGGTTATTTCTTTGTAAATCTTCTTCCTGTGTTTGTATCAGAGAGCTTGCCTCTGTGTTTTTTTTTTCAAATTTCTTGTTTAAAAAGCCAGTAAAAACACTAGTTATCTTCATTTTAATCTATCATAGTAACAAAAGTTTCTATTGTTAGTTGTCATTAATGTCACTTATGCAAACCTTGGTAGCGGTTGATGTGTAGAAACGTTTTCAAGGTATTTTTGTACTCTTCCAGGATAAACCTGGTAACGAACAAAGGATGTTTTTGCCGTGTTCTTAATGCTGTCGTCTGACGTCAGCACCTTGCTAATTATGTTTCCTGACTGTGCTCAGTTGGTGCTTTTCTCATGTGTTTCTTAGTTTAGTTTCCATCTGTAAGCATATCGTGCATAATTAAATCAGCTTCCTTTTATACCATCTAATTTGTAGCATAATAGTTGCACATCTGAGCCATTTAAAGATTCATATATGTATTTTTTATAAGGTTTCAACCTAATCTTATTTGTTCTTTTTCAGTTGGCTTTGATTACGTTCAGTCACTGTGTATCCTAATACCATTAGTTTAGAATTATAAAAGTCAGATTTTTTTTGGTGTTTTACGTCCAGTTTGTTTAAAGTATTGTGCATCTTTATGAAGATTTTAATAGTTTTGTAATTTTTTTTTTCTTGCAGTGAAACTGTGCATTTCGGAGGATGGTAGTTCCTGGAAGTGCCCCAGTCATACAGCGGGATCATGCCCTGGAGCCTGACTTAGGGCAAGACTGCACAGAGAATTCTGCAATGGGTCCCGATACAGAGCCACCATCCGATGAGGTTGGCCCAGAACTGGAGGAGGTGAGAAAGCTGCAGGAGCTTGTGAGGAGACTTGAGATCCAGAATCAGCACCTAAGAACCAGGAGCCGCAGAAGTATGCTTGGGACAAATATGCCGAGTGAGATCCATGCTGGTGTGGATAACCATGACTCTGGTCTGAATGGAATGGAAATTCATAACAGCATCAATGCTATAACTGAGAAGCAAGAATTGCAAATAATGGCAGATCTGCAGAACAAGCTAAGCAAAATAAGAAAGGAGGAGGGAGAGAACAATTGCTTAAAAAAAGACATAGATGCCCAACTGAAATATAGCTGCAACAGTGCTATTGAGCAACTCTCTTCTAACACGTATAAAGCAGAAATGAAGACTGCTGATAATGCTAGGTGTTCTTTACACATGGATACAAGTAATAGCACAGAGCTTACGGGAAATTTGGTCATCGCAGATCTTGATTCCTCAGTTAAAATAAATGAACAAAATCCCAATGGAAAATGTGGAGATCTAGAAGACTTTTTGAATAACACAGCTCTGGATGAAGTGAAAGTGCTAGAACTTGAAAACTGCAATGAAGAAGAAGATAGCTGGTATGTATTTCAAAACTTTACTAATATGTAGAACTTATGATTGCTGATGCAGTTGTGAATTCCTGTGTTTGAATATAATTGTTGCAATAATTTTAAAAGAATAAAGTGGTTTTGGTAAAGTTCTTTCGTTTTAACGGCAAGAATGCAATTCTAGTTATTGCCTGACCTTATTTTTAAGACCACAGTGCCGTAACAAAATGAACAAAAAACCAGTTTTTGTTCTGAATCAGTTTAAGGCTTCTCCTTCCATGCTTACTTCCTGAAGCTACTGTAGTAAGCACAGAAAACGTCCTTTCTCTGTTACTTTATTTATGTATAATGCACACAGATGAAAGAAAAATGGAGTTCTTAAATTTTGTGTATAAGCTTCAGATATTGTATTTAAGAATTTTCTAATAAGAAAATAAGTGTCTTCACAAACTGGAAGTTTGAATCACTCTTTTACTCCCACCTATCTGGAATTTGTGGCTTTCACTGTTATCTAAGAAGATCCATTTGTGTTTCCTGAATATTGTTTCTGTAGTTAACCTGCCCTTTTGTTCAGGGACGTGATCTGAAACAGAACAGTGACATAAACCGTAACTGACCTTACTTTAAAGGACTCTCCAGTTTACCAGCAGCCTTGTTTAGAACTTGTTTTATAAATCAGCAAATTAATTTCCCTTGCACTTTCAAAACTAGTTAAAGTTTGAGGCTAATTCCATCTCATGCAATAGCTCTGACTAGGTATTTTACACACAGTTCCGAATTTTAGGACTTTATAGGATAGCCTCGGGGATCTGCAAACGATTCCAGAATTCTTCAGTTGGAGATGAATGATGATACACTGAAGATACAATTCCCCTACACTTGTTCAGTACAAAGCGAGTCTTAAACTCTGAAAATAAAGTAGCCGTTATCAGCAAAGATCAATTTTTGTTCATCATGGAATGGAGCTCAGTAATGTAATAACATGAATTCTAGTCTAAATTCAAGATTTTATTTTAAAGAAGGGAAAACTTTTTTTCAGGTGACCAAGTGAGGGGAAATTGTTTTTTCAACACTAATTAATTTTGGAAAGGAATGTCTAAAGTTAAAAATGCTCTTCAAAACTGAATTTCTTCTATTTTTTTGGGGAGGGAAGGGGGAGGAAAGCTCATTCAGAAAGCTCATTCACACCCCTGGAAAGCTTTATTTTTTTCTGATTACAGAGGGTGTGGGGGACTTCTCATTTGATTTTAACTTCCACTGATTCGCTTGCTTTTTTTCTTTGCAAGCTTTCTTGTGAAAACTGACAACTGGGTCCAATTTGATCGTTTGAACTTTTTAGCATACTTAAATAGTATTTTGATCAGATTGCTTTCAAAAAAAAAAAGAGAGATTTGTTTAACAAATTGAATTCGGAAGCTAGTCTTTTTTATTGCTATGTTTAGGAAACAACTAGTTGTGTATGTACGCTTGTATGGTCTATGAGAAAAGAAAGGTTCCTCAGACTGTGCAGTCCTGATGAAGAAACTAGTCCCAGCTTGGGTTTTATAGGGGCAATGAATACTGTCAAATGCAATCAGGAGAGATTCTGTACTCGGAGGCTGAGTTTATTAACCTTTCCTTGAACTGACTGCTAATAAAGTTGTTCTCCTTTAGCAAGTACCTTTTTCGCTAGACCTTGTAGGATCTTCATGTTTTTGAGATCTCTATCACCTTGTCAAATTTGGTGGCTATGGGCCAATGGATTAAAAAAAGTTAGAAAGCACGGGACTGATAGATGCCCCAAAAAGCTTACATAAAGATGGTGTTAACAAAGATTTGTGAGCACGTGTGCCGCAAGTACTATTATAATGAATTAGATTTGGTCATTTTGTATTACTTCAATCTGTTTTGTTTTCCTCTTGTCAAACAAACCTGGTAAAATGAGAAGTCATGTTTATGATGGCTTCTTGTTCTGCAGCTCTTCAGTAAGATTGAAAGTGCATAATGCCTACATAACATCAATAATATATGCCTCTGCTTATTGCCAAGTATGCTAAATTCTCTTCATAAGAACACATTTCACATTGCTCATATGAAAACATGAATATTTGCAAGAACAATGATCAGGTATCGGTGGTGTGTGTGTGTGTGTATATATATATATATATTTTTAACAAATCTGTGTGATTGTGTAATAAAACACTGTCATAAAGTGTTGGAACAACAAGGCTGGACTTTCTTAAATTTTAAGTTCCCGATTTCTTTTTTTTCCTCCCAAACTTAATATTCTCTTTGTGTTTGCATGTCACTTTTCTAGTTTCAACAAAGCTCCCAAACTTTAAGATAAATTCTACTGTAGTAGAATAGGGTGACTTAATAGGGTTGAAACCACTCGTTAAATCTACTATATGGGTTTTTACTACTTGAGCTAAAGCGGCAATACTGAAAACTGTCGCTGCAGGAGGGCCTAGGCTGAGGCACAAAGTAGTGAGTGAGAGGATTTGCTAATATTCCCTGCAGATACAGGTATATTCTTTGTTTCTTCACTATCTGTGATGATGATGATGCATCTTCCCTTTGCTTCAGCAATATTTGTGTTCTCTTAATATTTGGTTTTGTCTTTAAAAACAGCATTGCACTGACTGAACTCACCTGAAACATGAGTTACTACATCACGTGCAGTAGCTAATTCTGTACTTTGGTGTCTGTACCTTGACTTATTTTCTTATGTTACTTTCTCAGATAGCTATTCAAATTTGTAAATATACATGAGACCCAGTCGGTCCACGTGAAAGTCAGCTTTCTGTGCTGCCAAAGTCTGTGTGAGGCTTAATTTAGACATTACTGGTCTTTGCCCTCACTTAGTTACTAGTCAGTTCTGTTATGCTACACTTCAAAGCATCTTAACTCCTAAGCTGTTTGGAGAAAAGCTGTTACTTAATAGCAGGGAACTGATAAGAAACACTTGCAACAGAGTATTACCTCGTTTGTCTTCCTTAGTGTTCCTCCTTCCTAGGAACTCCCCCTATCCAGCGATTCAGTTGTGCTCTTTTGCGAGTTTAGGTTATCTATCGTTCTTCACGTGTTGATTTGGATTGATCAGTTTGTGATGTATACCTCTGCGACTTGTTTGGTGTTTTGCAGACTGTCAGTTATTTTCCCAAGGAAGACTGGAGCGAGAGACTTCTGGCTTGGAATTGTGATGACATGTTTTAAATTCCAGCCCCCTCTGAAATATAAAAATGTTCTTATTAGTGTGACATTGCATGAAAGGTAGACAGAAATGGCACATATGAGAAGATTATTCAACTTTTTCAGCACTGTTTGTGCTTCGTACTGGATTAGACCATTTTTGCATCTCCTTTGATTATTAATTTACTTTGGCATGAGCACTTCCCTTCCCTCCGCCCCTGGCCACCTTGCCTTGCATGACTGCAGATGTTCACCTTGATGCAAAGGAAGAATGTCTTGACTCCGCAGTGTTGCTGCTGTTATTGTTCAAAGAACATCTCTGTGGTTATAGTTCTAGATTTTGGTGGCAAAGCCACCAACAGGTTAACACAGGTCTTCAAATTGCCTTTTGTATGTGTTCTTCTGTGTTTAAAAAACAAGCAAGCAAACCCACGTACAGAATCTTTTCAAGTTTCTTTTGGTGAATTCCTTTTAGAAGAATATTTCAAATATGAATGGTGCCTAAGTGGCTGTACAGGTCTACTCGGCCTTTCATGGTGGAGTTTTTCTTGTGGGATGGAAAGGGAAGGGAATCTGTGCACCGCTTCGATGGATCAGCGTGCTGCTGTTGCATCCTTGCCTTGCATCTTCCTCCTTCCCAAATACATGTGTTTCTATGGAAAACAGGCTGTGCCTTCTTCACCTTTAGTGCTCTCTTGTTTGAATCCAGGAGCTCAACATAGCAAACAAGGAGTCCTTGAAATAGTTCTTGTAGGAAGAGTTAAGTGTGGGTTGCTCAAAAATAAGTGACTGCCTAAGAGCTTCATGAGCCTGTGTTTTTCTTCAGTATTAGGTCCCTGTCCAGTGTCCTTCTCTGTTAATGTCTTAATGGAATTTAATACAACATAATGCAGGATATGTTAGTTTGTTTTGCAGTCAGAGATGGGAATGAAGCTTCTTGAGAAGTTCCACAAAGCGAGGATGTGGCTTTGCACAGAATTCAGGTTATTATGCCAATATAGCGTCATGAAAAGCGTGACATCTTGTACCTGCAACTTAGTGGAGAACTTTCTCTCCCTGATGTCCATATAGTCACTTCATACACTTCCAAAGGCCATGCAGCAGTTTGCCTGTAATCTTTGTTTACCAACGATGTTTTGCATGACTTCGAAAGAGTAACTTGCAAAGTTTTAATTTTTCAGACTGGTAGTCTTGTGAAGAGCTGTTAAGGTATTCCTTATACTGTATCAGTTAGCTTTATTGTATTAAGTAACGTATAGATGAATTAAAAATATTACTTCCCAATTTTCTAGGTTATTTTAATAGTGTTAACCCTTGATGTTAGCTGCAGCAAGCTGCTAACAATTATCTTTGTAATGTCTGTCTTGCTGTGCGTGGTCTTTGGGTGGGTGAGCTCCTTCAAACCCTTTTGTGCAGCTTTAAGATAGTATTACTGTCAGCAGTCTGCTTTGCCAGTAATTGCCAGTGCCAGAGTAGAGTAAGATGAAGGGAGAATCTACCTGCTTGTCTGACCCTCACATGCAAAATACGACCTTTTTTTGGTTTAAATTGCTGCTGATGGAGGAGGCTTAAAGTGACTTGACTTTTTTTTTGAAACGCTTGAGGTATTGACCCGCAGTTCCTTCGATCAAGTAAGTTGTGGGGATGGTAATCTCTGCTCAGTTGCACTGCCACGGTGCAGAAGTTTTTTACGTTGCTGCGGATGTTGTTCAGCATCCTTATGCAGTGTATGTATAATGACCCTTAAACTGTCCCACAAGGTACCTTTTGATCATCTTATAGGCCATTGTCTAGGTCATGAAATTAAGCTAATATGGTGTTTAGAGCTTTTTTGACTGAAGTGACTAGATTTTTTTTTG